CATACATGTGCCTATAGGGTTGCTGCTAGTGACTCATACCTGCCCCTGCAAAATTGCTCTTGGCTGGATGTGAGACATTTCACCCAGGAGGTTATATTCCCCCTACCCAGGGCACGGGGGCATGAAAGGCTGGCCCCCTTTGACTGAGGGTGTGACAAGCTCTGTGGTGCAATTCACACTCCAGAGCTCCCCATGGGGTCAGGATGAAGCCTGTCTCCAGCTGAGACCCCACCACTGCCTTTTTCCCCATCCTGCTTCCCTCACTTCACTTCTCCTGGGCACACCCCTCAATAGCTCTCACAAGCATCCCCACTCAGGTTCTGCTCCTAGGGCACCCAACCTAAGACCCATCCTGCCCCCTCCCTGCCCATGATGAGCCGCTGAGCGAGAATCCAGTGTGCCCAGCAAGGTCCTGGCTCAGAAGGAGTCATAATCGGGACACTCAATCTATTTCACCCACTGGTTTTGCAGTGGGGAGAAGAGGAAAGGTCAGGAGCCCAAACCCAACAGAAACAGGCACTGCAAGGGTAAAGATGCTGTGTGCATCCTTCCTGGCTGGAGGATGGAGGCCAAGGAGCACTTGGGAAGAGAGGTCTCTGATTCATTAAGTGAGTGAGGACCACCGACCAGATCCCTCCCCTTCCTGCCTACCTGCTCCAGGCCTGTTTGAAGTCCATGGGCTGCTGCAGCCAACCCATCATTCCAACCTTGCTGCCACCCCGAACGCCATGCCGCTGAATGGACAGCATTTGTAAGCAACTCTCTCCCCAGCCTAGTTAATAATTCAGGAGCCAGAGCCTGCAGCCAACCCATCATTCCAACCTTGCTGCCACCCCGAACGCCATGCTAGTGGGCAGGAAAGAAAAAAATCACTGAGCTGGCTTGAAAAATGGTCCTCACTTCAAGTGCTTTCTGGATCCCCAGTGCTTGGGTGGGAGAGCCAGGCTGAGACATATCTGCGGGCACACAGTGAGGGAAGGAGAAAGTGGTCCTGGGGGCTGCAGGCCTGCACACCAGCATTATTTAACTTTGGATCCTGAGCCACATTGTTTTTGGACAGTGTGTTGCAGTCACCAGAGAGCAGGCCTTGCAAGGCCCAGCTCTCTTCCTCCAATTCAGCCATTTATCCTGAGCCCACTCATTCATTCATTCTGTAATCACTGGTGCTGCCAACACAGAAGCAGGCATCCAGGGTACAGAGAGGGGTGGAGAGTAGCACCTCCCCTCAGGGAGGTGGACGCGTGCACTCTCAGGCACCAGGCAGTTCGAGATGCACACACTTAGATAGCAAACTGCTGACTGCAGGCTCTGTGTATGGGTTTGGCCTGTCGCCTGGGTATCCTGGGGGCCCAAGTGTCCAAAGCACAGAGAAAAGGTAGAGATGTTAATGGTAGAGGAACACAGAGCCTGGGGCCAGACTGCCTGGGTTCAGATTTCAGCCCTGCCACTTACTTACACAGTTAGCCTTTCCGTGCCTCAGTTTCTCCTTATGTAAAGTGGAGTTAATAGTGGGAGACTGATACAAACTAGCTCATCTGTGGTTAAAACAGAAAACCCAAACTCTGACAAATACAAAGTGCGGGCTACCTTTAGAAAATGATTGGGCAGTTTCTTATAAAGTTAAACGCACTTACCACACCACTCAACAATCCCACTCCTAGGTGTTTATCCAAATGAAATGAAAAACTCATGTTTATACAAAAACCAGTCCAAATGCCTTCCCATCAGGGAACCGATTCACTATGGCACACGCTCAGCAATAAACATGAATGACACGGGTGAGTCACAAATGCATTATATTAAGGGAAAGAAGTTAGACTCAAGAGGCTGCCTGCTGTATGTTTCCATGTAGATGACATTCTGGAAAACTGTAGGGACAGAAAACTGGTCAGTCATTGCTTGGGTGGGAGGAGGTGTTGACTACAAAGGGGGATGAGGGGACTTTTGGAGGTGATGGGACTATTTGGTACTCTGACTGTGGTGGTGGATACTTGTGTGAGTGTGTGTGTTTGTCAAAAACCATAGAAGTGTACACTAGGGAGAGTGCATTTCACTGCATGTAAGTTATGCCAGCAGAGGGAATGGCACGTGCAGAGGCAGGGGCTTGACCTCAGGTCTGAGTTGGTGTGCAGAGTTTTAGGAGGAAGTGGGAAGAGGTAGGGAAAACATATCTGGGTCAGTTTGTGAAGAGCCTTGAATGCCATGCTGGAGGCTTTGGACAGTGGGAAAACATCACAAGTTTTTAAGCAGTTGAGGAATAGAAGCAGATTTTTGTTTCAGAAATATGCTCTAGTCTGTTTAGAAGCAGAATAGGCTGGCTGGTGAACTCAGTTGGGTAGAGCACAGTGTAGTATCACCATGGTCAAGGGTTCGAATCCCTGTACTGGCCAGCCATGCCCTGTGCCCCCCAAAAGGAAAAAAACTAAAAAACTATAGAAGCAGAAGACTTGGCTGTATGGGCCTGATCCTGCCTCCAGAAATGTTTTCATTTGCCTGGTGGTGTTTTTTTTTTTTTTTGTCTTTTTTCGTGTCCAGCAACGGATCGCAACCCTCAGTGTTGCGCCCGTACCAGACCGGGACCGGCAACGGGATCGCAACCCTCGGTGTTGCTCCCACACCTCGCTCAGCCAGTGAGCGGGAACCGGTCTGTATGTGGGATCCGAACCCTCGGTGGGAGCGCCACCGCGCTCACAAGCGGCGCACTGTAGCAGTGCGCCACCGGGCCGGCCCAGCCTGGTGGTGTTTTTTAAAGCCTTTAAATTTGTGACCAACATTTAAAAATCAAGAGATTTTTCACAGAATTCAGAGTCCTGGTTTCTCTTCAGATAGGACACATGCTCTGCAAAAGCCACAACCCCACTCCCTGTGTCCCTTCCTGGCCCCGGCAGGTGTCAGTTTTTGACCCCAGGGGTTGAAAATGGTTGATAGGAGGTTGGGATCCAGGGCAGTGGATTTCCCAATTGTGCCTGAACATTACCATCACCTGGGGAACTTTAAAAGGTCCTGGTGCCCAGTCCAAGTTGCTGGGGGTAGACTGAGCACCTGCATTTTCCCAACATCCCCAGGTGATTCTCACATGCAGCCAGAGCTGAGGGCCATTGGTCTAGGAGGATGATGAAGGCCGGGAGGGGAGATGAGGTGGCCAGTCTTCCCCCAGAGCCATACTGCAGAAGACGGAGACTCACTTGGTGCTGTGGACTGAGTGTTTGTGTTCCCGTAAAATTCATGGGTTGAAACCTATTCCCCCAGTGTGATGGTATTAGGACGTGGGGTCTTTGCCAGGTGATTAGGGCACAGGGGTGGAGCCCTCATGAATGGGATTAGTGCCTGTATAAAAGAGGCCCCTGAGAGCTCCTTCATCCCTCCCACCATCTGAGGTTAGAACGCCAAGACGGCCGTCTATGACAAGTGGGCCCCCACCGGACACCAAATCTGCCGGCATCTTGACCTGGGACTTTGCAGCTCCAGAAATGTGAGCAATACATCTCTGTTGTTGGTAAGCCACCCAGTCTATGGAATTTTGTTATTGCAGCCTGAAAGGACTAAGACACTTGGGCAGGGGCGGGAGGCCCTTCTCTTGTCTGCCTGGCTCGTGGGTGCTCAGGACCTGCTGAGTGACTCTGCCTGGAGGAAAGTGGGGAGAATGTGCTCAAAAGGGGTGCTCATGCTGAGAAGAGGGGAGTCACCAAACCAGACATGTGGTGCCCTCCCACCAGAACCAGTCACCCCCTTCCTCAAACCTGTCAAAACCCTCTGCCAAAACATCTTGCCTCCTAGGAGAGATGCTATGTGGCAAATGCTACAGCTCCATCCTTTTTGTTTTTTTGGGTGGGGTGTCCATATCTTTTTCTATTAGCAGTAACTGTCCTTCATGTGCCTGAGCAAAGCAAGACAGAAACCATTTTACAGATAAGCAAGGAAAGGGAAGGAAGCATTTATTTAGTACCCATCACTTTGGCATCCATCCATATAACCATTCTATGTATGAAACAGGGGCTACTGTCCCCAGTTTCCAGGTGAGGAAACTGAGGCTCTGAAAGTTACCCCAGATGGCCAGCTTAGAGGTGGTCACTAAGCCTTACTCTCTCCATGGCTTTTTGTATGTTTCTCCACCGCCCGCAGCCCCCACCCAGCATCGGCCAGGAATGCACTCACAGACACACACACGTGGCCTCTCCAGACACCTTTTATTGTCTTGGTGGCTCTCACTTTCCTTCTGGTACCTGATGGGTGTCTGCATGACTGTTTCTGGTCTCCTCTCCTTTGCGGACTTGCTCTTTGTGAGGTCAGCCCAGGGAGGGGCTTTACTGTCCGGAGAAGGGGAGGGGTAGAGACCTCAGCCCTCCCACCCACCTAGATGATGGTCACTAAATGGCCCAGAGCTTTCCCATGGCAGCCATACCCGGCAGGGTTGGAATCTGTCACCATCTAGCATTTATTTGGCATTGTCCTGCCATCTGAACAAAGGACGATTCCAGGCCTCCTTCCTTGTCTCTTTGCCTCCTCTGATCTGCACAGAGGCATGAGTGGGATGTCAGGGAGCCTTTGCTCCTGGGAAGATTCTGGGCTGAAGCTGCCCAGGAATAGTGCTCAGAAAGGAAGCATAAAAAACCTCCCTTGCATGGTGCTGTTCAGGACGGGGCTCCCTTGACACAGCCCCTACAGGTGTTCCCTCTAGATGCTGCTCCCTGTGCGCTGGTGGCACTCATGGCCATGGTCCTTTCCTGGTGGCAGTCACTGTGGGCTGTGCCGCTGGGGGTCCCGAGAGTCATGGAGGTGCTCCTGTGGGCAGCATCTGCCAGGGACTGCATGTGCTATGGAGCTCGGTAGCGAGCAATGGCTCACTCCAGATGGCTCTCCACGTGGACAGTCCCAACTGTGGTTGGTGCTGGTCTCTTCTGAGCTCATCATGGTTGGCGTTGGTTGTAGACAGCGTGCATCACTTAGGATGGTTTTTGACGGTTCTTGCTGTAGGCAGCACTTGCCACTGATAACAGTTGTCACCGCTGACGAGTTCTGGTGCAGGTGGTCCCACCATCATTGCTCTCACCACAGGTGGTTTTGCCTTGGCTGGAGCACGTTACGAAGGGCTCATCACTGAGGTTCACAGTACTGAAGTTCCTACCGCTGGCGGTTTTGACACAGGTGGTCCCAGCACTCATGCCTCTTGATACAGCTCTTTCTATCAACAATGGTGCTCAGTGTAGGTGGTCTCAACACTGACTTCTGATTCTCAGTATAGGTGGTCTCAGCGACAACAGTTCTTGCCACCTGTGACCTGCCTGCTGACAGTTGTTACTACAGATGGGACCACCTATTGATGGCTTTTGACACAGTCATTGTGTACTTTTTAAAGACCTTTCCTACCCGTTTTGACAGTAACCGCTCTGGGTGAAGTCTGGGTTTGCTGGGCCCTCACATCTGTGGTTTTTAGGGATGACCTGGTTGCCGGGGAGACTTCTCACACAGGCAGCACTTCGGGGCAGGCTGCTCACCCTCGGCGAGTTGGTTGCTGTTTTTCACGTTGCCCCCAGTCTTGTCCTCCTGAAGATTGGTGCTGCTGCTCAGTGCACCTGGCATGTTGCCGTCCACCCGGATGCTCTGGCAGCTGCTGTGCTGGCTGGAGGGAAGGCTGCCTGTGGGAGTGAGCAGCCCGCTGCTCACCTGGAAGGTCAGCATGCTGCTGCCCGGGCTGAGGAAGGTGATGCCAGTGAGGCTGCTGACACCACTGCCCGCCAGGCTGGTCTCACTTTTCCCCTCCAGTCTGCTTGGCACTGTGGGCTTGGCTGGCCGGCCGGCGCTTTAGGTGGCTTGGAGATGGGGCGGTGCACCGCAGTCGAGTCTGGGTCCTGCCGCCCTGGGTGTTGGGCCTTCTGTTCAACCTCGAGACGCGCCTGCTGCCCACCAAGCTGAGCTGGCTGCTGTCTTCGTCCCCTGCGTACCCACTGCTCAGCAGGCTGGTGTTACTGCTTTCCTCCAGCTCAGGCTGTGAATGGCTCTGCACATGGCTCTCGCTGCTCCGGGTGCTCCCCTGGTTACTACAGGACACTTTCACGGGCTCCTGAGTGGCGCCTGCATGGTGTGGCTGTGTGTGTGATTGGCACTCTAGATCCAGTGACTGTGGGCTTGGCGCTTGCCCCTGAGCATTGCAGGCAGAAGACTCCCCTTTTTCTCCCTCAAGGAAAATGGAGGACAGCTGAATTGATGTGTCCAGGAGGAGGAGGCCTGGGAGGCCTCTGGATGTTGGTTGTGGCCTGTCCAGGGAGAGGTGACTCAATTTATAAGGTTGCTCTTTGGAGACTGAGTGTTCTGATTGGCTGGCTCGGTTCCCACGGTGATGGGGCCTGTGAGGCAGGGGTGGGGGGTGGGGCCAGGAGGAGAACAATGATGTCCTGGCTCCTGTGACCTCAGTGGCCTGGCCTGGAGGGCGGGGGTCAGGCAGAAAAGGAGCTCATGGCCAGAGGGGGTGAGCACCACCTTTCCGAGGGGCTTGTGGCCTCTGCTTTCCAGGAGCAGGCCAGGAGACCTGGCGCAGCTGAGCCACTGACTTATGACCTGTGTGTCTTCACCTTCTGAGCCTCTGTCTCCTTGCTGAGGGGGTTGTGAGGACGGGAGAGAATGTCATAGCTAGCTGTTGAACCTAAATTCCTGGCCAGATCTTCAAGGCTCCAGCCTCGTCCCACAGCACGCCCTACCCCTTCCTCCCCTCGGATGCCCAGTCACGCTGGTCTCTTTCTTTTTCTGAGCTCGTACCTGCTGTAGGGCCTTTGCACTGGCTGTTTCCACCACCCACAATGCTCTTCCTTTGGCCCCTCATCCTCCAGGCTTCAGCTGAGGTGGCCCTTCCTCAGGCCCTTCCCCTGACCTCCCCAAGAAGATCCCTGTAGTATTCTTCATGCCGCTTCCTTATTTATGCTTCCTGTGATGTTAATGAATTATGCATTGGTTATTTATTGCCAGTTCCCTCTGTTGGAATGTAAACTTGTGAGGGCAGAGATTTTGATTTCTTATTCTCTGCTATACCCCCAATGCCCAGCACAGTGCCTGCCCCGTAGCAGAAGCTCATCAGACACTGCGTGAATGGATGAATCAATGCTCTGCCCTGGGGCGTGCATCACGACCTCCTAGGACCATGGTTCTTGCCCTTGGCTGTCCACAGGAATCACCCAGGGATACCTGAGTCCCATGCCCTGCACCCCCAGAGGTTCTGAGTTAATTAGTCTGGGGTGAGGCATGGGCAACAGAATTCTAATTTCCAGGTGATTCCAATGTGCAGCTGGCATTGAGAACTGCTGTGCTGGAGCAGAAGCGTGGCCACGTGCACTTTCTCTAGGTGCTTCTGATATGCAACTCTGATGATGCTGTAGATGAAAAGCCCCCATGTGCCACTTATGAGCAGACACTTGATAGATGCTTATTGAGTGGATGATGGAATGAAGATATTCATTGACCCCTAAAGATTTCATGGATGGGTTCGTAAAACTTTGAGAATTCATTAAAATTGTATGCAAAATTTGCAGTGAGCTACACATGGTACACACTTTCTTTCCCTTAAGGTAGCTTTCATCAAATTCTCAAGGTTATCCATGATTCCCCCAAAATCGAGAAGCATAAATATTCGATGCGACCCTTGATTTAGCATTTGGGAGACAGTGGTGTTGAGCCTGACCCTGATAGGTCTGGAGAGGCTGGCTTGCTCTATTTGGGATGCAGGGTGGGGGGGTCTCTCCTTGAAGAGAGCCGCCAGCCCCTTGACAGTCATCAGCACATCATTGCTAATTATCACTGTTCTTTTTATTATGAATTCCTTCCTCATCACCTGGGGCCAATCAGCTTCTCTCTGCTGTACAGGGAGGAATCTCTTTGGCTCCAGGAATTCTGATCCTTCTGGGCAGGAGCATTATCATAGCTATCTGACTTCCTATCCCCACAGCCCTATGTCCCCACTAAGACTGGCAGGGGAGAGACAGACAGGGCGCCCTTGGTGGTGGGCGAGCGCAATGATCCTGGCCGTGATGGGACAGCTTGGATCAGGGAGCAGCTGTGTCGAGATGAGGAAGTGGTAGGAGTCTGGATATATTTTAGAGACAGCTTCATGATTTGCAGGGGTTGGATGGGCGATGAGAGGAAGAGCAGGCTCATGGCCAGCTGTTGGGTTGAGGAGCCTCAGAGTCAGGGGCTGGACCACCTTCTAGGAACAGCACAGCCCCTTCTTGGAGTCTGTGGGGTGGCACGCACCTGGCAGTTAGGAAGTGAGACTGACTAGGGTGCCAGCCTCGGTTCCTCCACTTCCTTCCACCACCACGGATGGGTGGGGAGGATTAAATGCTCCACAAACATGAGCTGAGAATAAGCAAATGGAAAGCCCCCTGCTAGACCCTGGAAAGACAGCTATGAAGAAAACAGAGAAGCCTCTCCTATAGGGACCTCATCTAGAGTGGGGACACGGACCACGAACAGACTTCAGGTAGTGAGAAGTGCTGCAGAGAAAATGCAACAGGCGCGGGGAGGGAGTGAGAGGGCAGATAGGGTTGAGACAGTGCTCGGTAGATAGTGTCACGGCTCCTCTCCATCATGTGACACCAGCCAGATCAAGGACTCTGGAGTCTGGCATGCTGTGGCTCAAATCCTGTGACCACCACAAGGGGACATTCTGTTATCAACGTAACCTCTTTGAACCTCAGCTTCCCCACCTGGGAAATGGAGTAGTAACGTTGATAATGTCACTTCTTGGAGGGATGCTGTGAGACTGACAGGAAGTGCCCAGGACAGGGTCTGCCCCTGTAGGCTCCATCACGTGGCGGTGTTGCCCAACTCTAACAGGGCCTTCTGCTTTACAACAGAGTATATGTAAGGTTTGTGCATACATACATGAATGCATGCATAAGTGTATGTGCATATATACACAAGCATATTTGTGAATATGTATATAAGTAAACATACATAAATACACATATGAGCACATATATACACATACATGTACATATATATGTACTTTTTTGAAAACCACAAAACCCACTTGCCCTCAGCATCACCCACTGGGGGTACCTTCCCTCCCAGGTTCTCCACACAGAGCACTCTTATCCGAGAGCCTCCCCTGCCTGGCTGAGACGGACGCCTTCATCTCTTCCTGGGAGTCCCTATTGTCAAGTCCCAGTCTGGGCAGGAAGTTGAACTCAAAGGGCCCTGTGTTTTTGGCACCTGGGCACGGTGGACTCAGTGGTGTGACCCTAAGGGTCCTGGTCTCTGGAGCCTCAGTTTCCTCATTTGTAAGGGGAGACAATGCAGTCAACTGTGCCCCCCTCTGGGGCTTCTGGGGTGTGGCTGGATGCTTCTCAGAAGAAAAGACACTGCTGGGGGAAGTTAATTGTCACCCAGTCCCCAGACACACTTGGCTGCGGGCTCTGTGGCCCCCTGGAGCTTCTCAATTAGTATAGACTCCCTGCCTGGCCAGCTGGGGCTAGGCTGGCCCGGAGTCATGGAGCGTGAGTGGCCTTTTCATCAAATTCTTCCTCTATGCTCGCAGAGAGGAGGAATTATTGGCAGAAAACGAGGATATAAAACCCCGCTGGAGCCTAGCACTTTTTTGGGGCATTCAGCACTGAGCACTTGGAAGCCGTCCAGCAGATTGGTTCATTTTTAATGGTCTAGGACTATAGTTCATCTGTTTAATTCAAACGAGGTGACATAATATCTTTCATTTGGACTTATTACCAGCACGGCTGTGATTCGGCTCCCAGCATTCTCTAGGCAGGACATTCTGTCATTATGGTATGTTCTCTCTCTCTGGCCAAATTGAAAGTCCACGGGAAGGGCTGCAGCCTCAGAAAGGAGAGATCAACATAGAATAGGTCACATCGGGTATTAAGAAATGAAAATGAATTCATATTTTCCTCCGTTGAATAAGCAGCTGTACTTGGGTCTCTGTGATCCATGAAATAGGCTATCAGGAAAATACGAAATGGGCTGCATTTGGACTTCACCTGCTGCTCCTGCCCCGTCGACCTGGAGACTGGGGTTGCCACCCAGGGCAGGTGTCAGGGCTGGGGCAGGGGCAAGGGCAAGAGGGGCGCCTAATATATGCCACATAGGGTCCTGGGGGTCGGGATGGGGAACCAGGTTATTATCCCCATTTTGCAGATGAGGATGACAAGGCTCAGAAGGTTCCAGAGACTTGCTCAAGGTCACTTAGTGGCAGAACCTTGCTTTGGTTTGAGGTGTAGAGCATTATGGCTGGGAACTTGGGCTGAAGGACCTCAAAAGCTCATTCTGCCTATTTACTGGCATGGGACGGGGGGCAAGATGTTTAACCTCAAGTCTCATGTGGAAACACGTGGTAGAAATACCCCCTCACTGCATGACATGAGGGTTAAATGAGGGATGAACGTAGTAAGTTTAGCGATGGGCTCCATGTGTGCAGTGACTGTTCACTAATGTTATTTAATGCTTTATTTATATATATTCTATGTCACATCATTCTTCATTATAACTTTCGTATTTGCATTCCTCTGATTGTAGAGTGTGAGCAAGAAGCCTGGAGAGTGAGTGACTTTCCCTAAGACGCAACGCAAATGGGCAGTGGGGCCAGGATCTGCCTTTGGACTGACCCTGGCTTTCTGCTATACCAAGTGGCTGAAAGTCTGGGCTGGGGAGGGAGTTTTGAGACAGTGATTATGGAATTCCTCCCGTTTCTGCTTTCTCTCCACAACACACTTCACCATCCCTACGTACTTTACTCAGCTACTTTGTTCGTTGTCCCCTACCTGCCCTAGAATTCACACGAGGGAGGGGTTTGGCTCGGTTCACTGCTGAATCCCAGTGCCCAGAACCCTGGCTGGGACAGGGGCGACGGGAGGCAGGTCCTACAGGTGCAGGCTTGGAGCCCGTCCTTAGTGAAAATTTTGATATTTTGTTCATCATGGATATTTTTGGGTTAATTCGTATTTTTAATAATATTGTATTAAAATATTGATCTTGGTTAGTTGTTTTTTTGGCACTTCCTGAAATTTTTGCCCCTGAGGTGAGTGCTTCACTTGTCTTGCCCTGGTCCTGGCCTTGGCTAGACCATGCAGTGTCACATGGTGACATTCAATAAAGATTTTTAGAATGAATGATGCCCCATTATATATCAAGACTCACTTTCTGGGTCCCCAGAGAAGAGACTGTACCCCAAGGGATATTCAAGTCTCCTCATATCAGAAGGAAGCTAGAATCCCAAATTAAGCTGCTTTTACATGGCCCCATAATTTGGGGGCAGCTGAGTATTTCTGATAGCGGTGAGCTAAAAACTAAGGGTGTGTCCCTTCCAGAATCTGATTGTGGAACCAAATAGAACTTGAATCTCTAAAACTGCCTAATGGGGCAGGGGAATGCAAGCGATTCACAGGGCTCTGAAAACCTGTGCAGAATTTCATTCCATCATTAGAAACCACAGCACCTTTCCCTCTCCTGGATGTTCCTTGCAATTAAAAGCCACGTTGTGTTGTACTGACAATAGTTAACATAATGAGATCTGGCTGTGCAGTGCCACAGGTCCCCTTCTGCCCCACGGTGGGCACACCTGGCTGAGCCAGCTGGGTTTGTGCTGTGATACCTCCGATGCTCCATTTCAGTGAAATATCAGGTTTTGCCTCTACCTTTGGTTTTGTTTCCCTCCAAAGCTGAGGTTTCATCGAGATGCATTCTTATAATTAAGGCGAGAGTGAGAAATAACCTCCTATGTAATTTAAAATGGTAAAATTATTGATACCTTTTCCAGCCTCAACTTTAAATCTTAGCCACCAACGACTCCCCTATTAACGGGCCTAATTAAATCCATTTTTCAGCGCGTCTTTGGCAAATTCCATTTTAGCAAAACTGTAGGAAGTTCAAGTTGATTTTTCTCTGCTCCCTAGAGCGCTCCTGTAAAAATGAGGACAAAGGGGATGGTTGTCTCTCATGTCTTACATTTATTAATTCAGCCAACAAATATTTATGAGTACTTACTATGTTCACTGGCATCAAACTAGAGAAGCGAAAAGACAACAAAGTTTCTACCCTCATGGCCAGAGGGGAGTGAGGATCATTCATTCATTCAACAAACATGTATTGAGTCATCTAACGGGAGACCACTGTGCTAGGCCTTGGTGTTGTAGTGATGAAAGACCCCCCACCCCCGACAGTCACCATCACACAGTCACCACCACCAAGTCACCACTTATTTGAAGTGGTACAAACAGTTGATATTCAGCGTGATAAATGTGCTGATAGTGTTCAGCAAAGGTGACTGTGAGAACTCAAGAGAAAGCTCCTAACTCAGACTGGGAAGCTGGGGAGAGAGAAGGTTCCCTGGAGCTGAGTTTTAAGGGGCAAATCGGTGTTTTTCATGTGAAGCAGGGAGAGGGGGAGGTGTTGCAGGAGCGGGGATGGATGGGCACAGGGGTGCGGGACAACACGGGGACTGTGCAGAATGCTAAGCTATCTGGTTGGGTTAGGGCTGTGCTCTCAGCTCTGGTTGCTTATTAGAATCATTTGAGGGCTTTGATAGCATAAATAATGCCTGAAGCTCATCCTCGACCATGAACATCAACAACAAAATGGATTTGAGAGATGTAAAGGAAGTAAAATACACAGGACTCAGTAAGGGATTAGGTGTGGGGTAAGGAACTGTTCAATGGAGAGGTTAAGAAAGAGATCCTCATTTCTGTGTGGCATTCACCGTGAACTGCCCCCCTAAGTCATTTTCCCTTTTTCCCTTCAATGTCTAGCTCCATTTTGTGCTCAGGCTGAGTTTCTTGCCCAGGCCCAAGCCACGGACCATAACTGGCTTAAGCCAAACCATGACAATTCCACTCCCCCTTATTGACTAGTATGCCCTAGATCAGACCAGTGAAGCCATGCATGTGAACGAGATTACCTGGGGAGATGTGTAATGAGGGCAGATGAGGGCTGAGGTCCAAGCCTTGAGTAACTTTAGTATTTCATGGCCAGCCATGGGAGAACGATTCTGCAGAAGAAACAGAACAGCTGGAGAAGTGAGCGGAGAGCCATGCAACTGCACAAAAGCCAAGGGAAAGAAGAGTATTGGAAAAAGGGGGTATGCAACAGTGCCAAATATTGCTGAAACATCAGGTGAGGGAAGGGCTAAACTTATTCTGCCTCTC